CAAATCAAATTGATCGATGACATCCAAAAAAAAAACAAATGAAAGTCAAGTTACTTTGATTATTTCCTCAATGCATAAACATATTAACTCACCATATTGTATTTAATTAAAATCAGTTATTATGCCATATCCCAAAACATCAAAGAAATTACTCGCGAAACGAATTACTATCTAAAAAAATATTGGTACTTATATAAGGACAGATATTCGATAATGTTTTAAATTAAAAAAAAAAAAGTTTTAAATTCTAGCCTTCTTTGAATATTTATATCAAGGTGCGATTAATTTTCTCAAAATTTGAAATTTATTTTTGAAAATTTTTATCCGACTATTATTAAGGAAGATTCATGTAAAATTAACTTGTTAAATAAAGGAATCAGAATCGAAAGAAAATAATACATTACATAATAATACATATACTCCTGGCTTATTCTACAAAACACTCTTATGTGATCGTCTAAATATAAAAAATAACTATAAAAATAATAAACTATACTATTCAAAGCTTGCGTACCTTACCAGAGATACAAGTCTGTAAAAATAAAATAACTTTTAATGAATCGACTTCTAATAAAATTATAAGAATAATCAATTAATAAACATTAAGATTCGAAACGAAATACATTTTAATTTCCCAATATTTTTACAGTCAATTATATCGATTTTTTACGCATTCTTCTTTACAGTATCTTCGATAAGAACGATCATAGATTATAACTAATGAAAGTCTGAAAAATGAAATCTTGTTTGCCTGGCTGATCCAATTTTATAAGTTTTCTTAACTCGCGCATTGATAATCCAAAGATTTTCCTCTGAATCGATAAAACTTATCATTGGCAGCGAATATCTTTTTGCTATCGATAATAAGGATTCGTTATACGAAGCTAATCTTTCTCGACGATTGTGACGTCATCGCTACATTCCAAACGTATATACAATGACACGTTATGCAAAAATCATAGAGATGTTGGAAAATCTTACCTGAAGAAAAATCTGCGTAAAAAAAAAAAGAGGAAAAAAAAGATACAAAAAATGTTTTAATCAAGCTTATTAATCATAAATAGGAAAATAAAAAGAGCACTAGGTATCGAACGTGATTTTACTCACACGTCAAGTAAAAAAACTGTTCGTAGAGGCGTCATACTGCTGTGCCACATAATTACTACATAGAAAGGAAAACCACGCGCGAGTTAACGAGGAAGAGAGATATAAAGAGAGAGAAGGAGAATTGGAGAGAGGGGAAACTACGTTAACCCTGATGGGTGAGGAAAGAGAAGAGCGAGAAGAGGAGAGAATGCGAGGGCAGAACCGAATAATTGAAATAGAACGATGGAATGAGAGAATAATGTGGACGAATAAAAACCAAGAATAAAAATTACAATAGAATCAATTTCAATTCTTACATTACAATTAAAAATTCGAAAAAGAAAATCGACTGTGCACCGTGCATAAGAACGTGCACTGCAAAGAGAGAACGAATCGTAAAGAAATTTATGCGTTGCGGAATACGAAAAAATTAAGAATGAGTAATTAAAAAAATATGCAGATTATCCGAAATACCGAAAAACGAAACATAATGAAATCGAAATGACACGCTAACCATTACAGAATACCCATTGACGAATGGAAACTGATCAAGATCAAGTGAAAGGCCAAACCGCTTCGAGACCTGACGAGAGACTGCTCTAAAAATACCTAGAGAATTCGGCAATTGCCTGTCCAATCACTCGAATTAATCTACGAATTAATCTCGAGTTGATTCAGATTAAAAGAATAAATATGCTTTCCAAACTTTTGCCACATTTAAGTACATTTTATCCAGCAAAACTCATAGACTCGAATATCAAAGCGAAAAATGTGAATATTTCATTTACATATTTATTGAAATTCGATATATTTTATAATATATAATTATATATGTCGGTAAAACAAAATTTTACTTCGAAATAATGTCTTGTAAACTAAGAAAGAGGAAAGATAGATATAGACGAGAAAAATATATGATATTCACGAACGATGAGACATAACAGACGTAAAGGTATAAAAATAAAGATGATACTTTAGATCCATAATTTGGGCGGATCTAAAAAAAGACACAACGTAAATGCTATTTTGTTCGCACGTGCATGTGCACTTGGTAGAATAACGACGCATACACTCGATTACGCCCAGGTGATTCACGCGACGACCTATGCGTATTATCTGACTGAACGGCCCTTAAAAGGGTTCGCATTCTCGTGAATCGATCGCCTTTTCGTGACTTCACGTGTGCTTCGATCAAAGTCACAGCAAGGAAAAGCTTTCGTGACAAAAAGATGTTATCTACAGATTCAGAGACGCGATAAGTATAACTCGCGATAAGTATAGTTCGCGAATTAAAATTAGTATTCAGTGAGTAATAAATTACAGTATATCGAGTCAAATAATCTCAGATTTTACATTTCTCAAAATTATTAATAATAATAATTATAAATTCTTGGAAAAAAAAAAAGAAAAGAAAATAGCCCTTCTCTTTTTTATTTTTTCAAAATTTAAAAGATAATCGATTATTTAAAAAATTATATAAATTTCTTCCGGTTTTCAATGTATTTCAAAGATTGTAATCGTTTAACTTCACAGATTGACATAACAAATTCACATAATAGATAACAGAGTTACGGATGCAGCTTGCATTGAGCTTAACGATGGATAAGGTCAGTTGCTTTTTATATAAGAATAATCGTATAGTGTTGTGGAATAAATGAGGCTCGATCAACGGAAGGAGAGACTAACCACCTTGG